GCATATTGAAGGATCCTGTTTTATTATCCATTCTGCTCTTTATGTCTCTTGACTGGTACATTTAATCCATTTACATTCTGTGTAATTATCAATAGATATGAATTGTTTGTTGTTATTTTTCTGTCTTTTTTTTTTTTTTAATGGCACGGCTGAAGTCTCCATCCCACATAATTTTCTATGTTGAGTTCATTTTGTTTGTGGCTTTTCTTGTCATTTTCATTTCTGTTGTGTTAATGTTTACTAAATCTCTCTGATTTTCCTCCTTTTTAAAATTTTGATGTGCAGGTGTTCTTTTACTTTGAGGTTAATTTCTTCCCTGCTTAAAGCTATTTTTTCTTGAAATCGACTTCACTTCCTAGTCGTTTGGAAGTTCTGTATCTACACTTTTCCCTCTTTTTGTTTTATATTCGACATTGTTATACATGGATGTTTCTAGTTCCTTATTTTCAGCCTTGTAGGTTTGTTTTACTTTAAATACTTCTATATCTGGATTGAGTTCTGGGTAATGTTGTCTTGTATGGTAATCTCGGATTATTATCTGCTGCTGTTGGTCTTAGCACAAAGAACACCCTTCAACATTTTTTTGTACAATTGGTCTGGTCATTACAAATTCCTTCAATTTCTGTTTATCAGGAAGTGTCATAATTTCACTGTCTTATTTGAGGGACAGCTCTGCTGGGTATATGATTGTTTGGCAATCTTTTTTTTTTTTCAGTTTTGTATATGTCATTCCATTGCCTTCTTGTCTGCAGGGTTTCTGTTGTGAAATCAGAGCTTAGTCTTATTGATTCTCCTTTGTAGGTCACTCTTTGTTTTCCCTAAGCTGCTTTCAGGATTCTTTACTTATTTTTGGTTTGGGAAAGTTTGATTATGATATGTCTTGGTGATTTTCTTTTGGGATCTATCCTGCTTGGGCTTTGTTCAGCTTCTTATATACTAATCTTTTTGTGCTTCATAGTTAGGGAAATTTTCTCCCAACAACTCTGACAGTTTTCTCTCTCTGTTTTGGAATTTGGATCACCCTTAAGTTGTTTCTCTTCATGGTGCCCCACATAACTTTATGGCGCTTAGGCTTTCTTCAGATTTTGTCATTCTATTCTCTGATTGTTCTTCTAACATACTAATATAGAAGAGATTTGTCTTCAGACTGACTAATTTGGTCTTCCATTGCTTCACATCTTCCCTTTGCTAGTTCAATGTATTGTCCATTTCTGAGATCATAGTATTAACTTTCTGGATTTCTAATTTCAGGTTTTGTATTCTTTCAAAATTTGCATTTATTTTGTCTTTTGTTCTTGTAGTGTTTTCCTGAATTCTTCTAAAGTTTTTATTGTGTTCTCCTTGCTTTTCTTTATCTTTCTGTTAATCCTTTTGTTGTTGTTGTTGTTGTTGTTATGTGCCGTGGAGTTGGTTCTGACTCATTCTGAGGCTGTAAATCTTTAAGGGAGCAGAAAGCCTCATCTTTCTCCCATGAAACACCTGGTAGTTTCAAACTGCTGACCTTGTGGTTCACAGCCCTATTTGTAACCACTACCAGAGCTCCTGTTGATCCTTTGAAGGTACTTAATTAACATTCTTTTGATTTCTTTTTCAGTTCTATTAAGTTTTCTTTCTCAGAAACATTTTCTGGCTCTGCATCTTGGTCATTTGTTTGAGTCATTCTCTCTTGTTTCTTCATTTGAGCTAAAATTGTCTATTGCCTCCAGAGAATTTGTGAAAACAGTGCAGTTGTTGGACTCAGAGAGGAGAAACCTCTTGTGGGGGGTTGGGTGGCTCCTGCAATTCAAGGAGCTCGTGAGGTGATTGTGGAAGGGATGTGACAGTAGAGTTGTTCCTGGTCCTAGATGGAGTCCTCTCAGCCTCAGTGTTATCTATGTTCAGGGCACTCAATGTTGGTGGAGACCCTGGATGGAGCTGGTTTCAGTGGCTGTTAGGACCACAGGGGAGTTGGGGGCAGGGTGCTAGTTAAATGCTTGTCTGATGGATCTGCAGATTTGTTGGTCTGGAGCCTAGCTCGCCTGAGTCCAGGCACCAAAGCGGCACACCAAATCAGTGAAGCCAGCTCCCACTTCACTCTGGCATGGCTCCCTATAGCCTCATAGAGCCTCATAGACAGAAGGGTCTATACTGGGGGTGGATGAGAGTGGGAGCTGACCACACCTCTGGTCACTAGGGGAGCGTAGGGAAAATGAAGAAATCTCACCTTTCCCATTGCTCACATGAATCTGCCGTGCCAGGCCTCCCTCTGCTGCTGAAGCTGCTCACAAGGTGGTTGTGCAGCATTTGCCCTGCCGTTCACCAGGCGGTCTCCCTCTCCTGCCGTCCCTGCTCGGCCTCTCCTCCCAGCAAGCACTCCATCCACCTCTCTGACTTTTCTTCTTAAGTTCAACATGCCAGAATTCTCATCTGTGTGTGTTTTATTTTATCTCTCATATCTTTGTTGTAGAGGGTCTGTGTAGTGTATCAGCCTAGTTGGATATCTTGCTGGAAGTCTCTCTGGATGCTATCAATCTTTGTGGGAGCAGAAAGCCTCATCTTTCTCATGTGGCTGGTGGGTTTGAACTGCTAAGCCTCCGGTTAGCAGTCCAGCTTATAACCCACTATGCCACCAGGGCTCCTTAGCGTTCCTCTAAGTAGTAGTGGTTGGCGGTTGTTTGCTGTTGAATTGATTCTGACTCATAACAACCATGGTTAGGGTCTGAGGTTGCAAATCATCGTGGGAGCAGAAAACCTCATCTTTCTCTCATGGCGTGACTAGTAGATTCAAACTGCTGACCTTGACCTCAAGGTCAGCAGCCCAACTTTTACCCACTAGGCTCCCAGGGCTCCTGTAGATTTTCTATGTTCTTGTTGTTAAGTGCCATTCGGTTATGACTCAGAATGGACCTTGTATAAGGTTTCCAGGGAACGACTGGTGGGTTTGAACCCCTGACCTTATAGTTAGCAGTCCAGTGCTTATCCTATAGCACTACACCAGGAGAGGTAAATTACATGATATGATACTAAGGTAGTCTCCCATCACCTGTGGCATCATATATAGATTTCTCTGCCTGAATTTAAATGCCTTTTATAATGGGCTTCTGGCTATCCTTCCAACATAATGTCTGGCTGCAATTTCCTCTATCTAAGGTCTCATAGAGAAGTCTTGGTGGTGCAGTGGTTAAGTGCTTGGCTACTAACTTAAAGATCAGCAGTTTGAACCCACCAGCTACTCTGAGGGATAAAGATGGGACAGTCTGCTCTGTGAAGATTTATAGTCTTGGAAACCCAATGGGAGCAGTTCTACTCTGTTCTATAGCATCACAGAATCAGAACTTGACTCAACAGCAAAGGCTTCACCACTTACTCTACCATTGTCGTATACATTCTCTCTTGGGATTTTGCTCATATTTCCCTTTTCCTTTGTGCCTTGTCTCCAGTCCAAACACCATCCATCAGTCAAGGCCATTTCCTTGAACCCAGTCTACTAATGTCCCTCTTCTCTGGATATCTATTGTTGGAACTGAAATGGTGCAGTGAAAAACTAAGAGTAAGGAAAGTTTTATCTTGGTTAAAGTAAAATGAGATCTTGACAGTCTTAATAGCTTTAGTTAAAATATAGCTTCTTCCTTAACAACCCCATAGTTAAGCTCTTCTTTTAGAGACTAATCATTTCTTCTTTTAATTGGTAGTTAATTCCCATTCCATGCACTATCCCTGGAAGGAAGAAAACAGCTGCACATTTCTTGTGAAGGCCACTGGGAAGTCTTAACAGTGCCTGTCAGCATGTTCAGAATGGTCAGCAAGACATGAGATAAACAAAGCGACAAAGGGGTTTCTGAAATTCCTTGGTGTGCTACCCTATGCCCAAGATCCCTCTAAATCCCCACTCCCCTTTCCTTCAGGGACATAGATCTGGGGAATTTCCATTCCTCTGCCTTCCTGAGTATTGATACTTAATAAATGTTTTGCTCTTTGCTCTGAGTCTTGTCTCTGAATATTGGCTCCATTAGGTGGCAAATTATAAAGAACTATTTTCCCTATTTACAGAACCAAATAGTTTTATATTGTTTATCATGTTTTATGCAAATAACACTGACATTATACATTTTTGACAAATGCACTGCCCCTCCCCTCCCCGGCACATTATTTGAAAATGTACAGTATTCTTTCATTGTTCATTAGTTAAGCCTCTCCAGGTAGATTGTAAGCCCTTGATGTTAGGCCCTGTACTAAGCTTCTTTTATGTTCCCTAAAGTATCCAGTATATATATATTTTTTACTCCAATCAAGTATATGTTCACTTAAAAACTGCATTGGTAACTTTCAAGAAGCTGAACTGTTCATTTATCTTGCTGTAAGAAATAGCAGTCTGTTTGTACCCAATGCTTGGAACTACCTGTCAATTACATATACCCTGAGCCTGAAAGAAAAATCAGTGGAGATTGGAGGTTTGAAAGTGATTGTTGTTGTTGTTAAGTGCCATCGAGTTGGTTCCGACTCATAGCAACCCTGTATAGGGTTTCCTAGGAGTAGGTGATGAACTTGAACTGCCAGCCTTGCAGTTCAAACAGCTTTGCAGTCTGGCACATTAACCCACAGCTGAAAGTGATTACTGACCTAGAATTTCCCCAAACAGTCTATCTAAATTTGGTCCTTGTTGCCTTTAGCTGCCACTGAGTCTGCCCCAAGTCATGGTAATCACATGCCCATTGGAATGAACTACAGCCTGGCCCTGTCCATCCCGTGATGAGCTGTAGGTCAGATATTGTAATCCAAAGGGTTTTCATCGGCTGTTTTTCAGAGTCGCCTTTTTTCCCAGTCCATCTTAGTCTGGCAGCTCCCCTTACACCTGTTTGGCACCAGAGTAATGTGTAAGTCACTGCAGGATACAAACCAACAGATAGGTAGTGGTCATGCATGAGGTGCCTTGGCTGGGAATGGAACTGGGTCTCTCACATGGGAGGTGAAAATTGTCCTTAGCATTCTTCTAATGTGCTTGGCTGTCCCTCTTTCCCCAGAGAGCTCCTGTGAGAACAAGCGGGCAGACCTGGTCTTCATCATCGACAGCTCCCGCAGCGTCAACGCCTACGACTATGCAAAGGTCAAGGAGTTCATTGTGGACATCTTGCAATTCTTGGACATTGGGCCAGATGTCACCCGGGTGGGTCTGCTCCAATATGGCAGCACTGTCAAGAACGAGTTCTCTCTCAAGACCTTCAAGAGGAAGTCTGATGTGGAACGTGCTGTCAAGAGGATGAGACATCTGTCCACGGGCACCATGACAGGGCTGGCCATCCAGTATGCCCTGAACATCGCATTCTCAGAAGCAGAGGGGGCCCGTCCCCTGAGGGAGAATGTGCCTCGGGTCATAATGATTGTGACAGATGGCAGGCCTCAGGACTCAGTGACTGAAGTGGCTGCAAAGGCTCGGGACACAGGCATTCTGATTTTTGCCATTGGGGTGGGCCAGGTAGACCTCAACACGCTGAAGGCTATTGGGAGTGAGCCCCACAAAGACCATGTCTTCCTGGTGGCCAACTTCAGCCAGATTGAGTCCCTGACCTCAGTGTTCCAGAACAAGCTGTGCAGTAAGTCTTGCTCCTCTGTGGCATATATTGGGGGAATCTTTAGAATTCATTCATTCTCAAGTATCTATTCTGTGTCTATGTCCCAAGAACTGTGTTAGCAAAGACCAAGACAGACACAGAGTTTTCTTGAGGCTGCCCCCCTGGTCAAGGATACAGGCATTACACATATAATTGCACAAATAAGTAACTTACTGCTTTGATCAGTGTAATGGAAGAAGCATGCAAAGCATTATGGAGCCTATGACCCAAGGACCTAACAGGAGAGGATGCTCAGGGAAATGTTCCTCAGGAAGGGACTCTTAAACCCAATGGTAGGGTAAGAGCTGAGATGAATTTTCTCCCAGTATATTGAGCTGTACTAGCATTCCTTAAATTGGAATTCCATGTGTTGGGAATGGGAGTGGGGGTGTATATGGGAGGGCTAAAATATAGACTGCTTCCTTGGGTAGTGTGTGGGGTACCAAGAAACCGAGGCACTTTTGCTCCTTGGTTGTGCTAGTAGTGGATGCTTTTCCATTTTTTTTTTTTTAATGTCTAAATGTCTTTATTTCCTCTTCATTTGTGAAGAATATATATGTGTGAGTGTGTGTGTTTAACTTTTTATTGTGACTTGAGTGACAGTTTACAGAGCAGATCATCAGTTTTACATTCAACAAATCACATATATCGTTTCATTTCAATGATTGCACTCCCCTCCATGTACCATCAGTTATCCTACTTCCTCCCTGTGATTTGTGTTTCCATTAGTAGTGGAAGTCTGTCTGACAGAGACTTAGTGTTAGCGTGTTAAGTTGTAGGTGCCGCTGTCTCACACCCCTTCTACAGGAAATTGCCCCCCTCAACCCCATATCCTGGATCTGCATTCCTCTCTTCTCATTCCCCTCTCCTGCATTCTAACCCCGTTCTCCACAAGACCCCTCTCTGTCCCTTTTCTCCACAGATTCTTCTGAGCTATCTCCAACCCTAGTTCCTGCTTCAGCTTTTCTCAGCAAGCCAACTTGTTTTCACCTCACCACAGCTTCTTTCTTGTCCCTTCTTCTAAAACAGGAAAATAGTTTCAAATGATCAGTGCCTCCATTTCTCTGCCTATCCAATGGGTAAATAATGATTCTAGCAGGAGCCCAGATTGCCAGGCCAGGCTCCACTCTATTGTTGTCAGCCCCCAACTCATAGTGACCCCACACACAATGGAACAAAACATTATTCAGTCATGTGCTGTACACATGACCTGTTGGGGAATGGACCAGTGTACTCCACAGGGTTTTCAGAAGTGGACCACCAGGCCTTTGTTCTTAGTCCTTCTTAGTCTGGAAGGTTCTACTGAAAACTGTTCAGCTTCACAGCAACGCTGAAATCTCCACTGACAGATGGGTGGTAGCGGCACACTGACTGGGAACTCAGGTCTCCTGCATGTTGGTGTTGTTAGGCACCATTGAGTTGGTTCTGACTTGTAGCGACCCAGCGTACAGCAGATTGAAGCAAAGCCAGGTCCTGTGCCATCCTCAAAATCGTTGGTATGTTTGAGCCCAATGTTGCTTCACTTTGTCAATCCATCTTGTTGGGGATTTCCCCACTTTTTTACCTACCCTCTCTTTACCAAACATGATGTCTTTTTCCAGCAAAGTCTTGCCATTGTCCCTTCTGAGAAGAATTCTGGCTGTACTTCTTTTGAGACAAATATATTTGTTCTTCTGTAGTCCACAGAACTTTCAATATTCTTCACCAGCACCATAATTCAAATGCATCCATTCTTCTATGGCCTTCCCTGCCCAACTTTCTCATGCATATGAGGTGATTGAAAATACCATGGCTTGGGTCAGGCACACTTTAGTCCTCAAACTGACAACATCTTTACTCTTGAACAAAGAGAGCTTGTGCAGCAGATTTGCCTATTGCAATAAATACATCATTTGATTTCTTTCTTCTTCTTTGTTTTTTTTACATCACACGCATCTTTATTTTACTCCTGTTCTGCCATGAATTCATAGGGAATAGGTTCTAGCAGCTCAGACTCCTTTCCATTGGTTCTTACAAAGTGCGCCTCTCTTGGGGGAGCAGTCTGGTACTTTAGTTTAACCTAGGTACTTCTCTCTTTGGCTTCCTTCTTTTTCTGATCATTTTCCCTCACTCACTTCAGGAACCTGTCTCAGCTCTTAAAGTGCTTAATGTGCTCATTAATTCTCATGGCAACAATGCCAGCAGCATGCTGGGTCACATTGTAGACTCTTCTGGTTTTGTGTGGTAATGTTTGTGGGGCATCCCTTTTTGAACTGTACCCATTCCCTCGATGTCCACAATATCACATTTCTTGTAGATTCGCATATACGTGGCCAAAGGAACGACCCCATGTTTCCTAAAAGACCTGGAGAACAGATAGCAGGTACTCCGCCTCTTTCCCTTTGTGTTTGTCATTTTGGTGAATTACTGTGAGATGACGGTTCCATCATTTGGTTTCTTGACTGCTGTTTCCATGAGTGTCTTTGACAACTCAGTCTTTTCTGTTTATCATGATGTTATTTATTGGTCCAGATGTGAGGATTTTTGTTTTCTTTACATTGAGGAACAATCCATACTAATGGCTGTAGTCCTTGATCTTCATCAGTAAGTATTTCAAGTCCTTTTCCCTTCCAGAAAGCAAGGTTGTGTCATTTGCGTATCACAGGTTGTTAATGATTTTTCCTTCAATCCTGATGCCATATTTGTCTTCATGTAATCCAATTTTGAATCTGACAACCACATGGTTTACTATGTCGGGAATGACAAATTGAAGAGGAATGGTGTATTCATCATCAAAAAGAACATATCCAGATCAGTCATGAGGTACAATGCTGTCTATGATAGGATAATATCCATGTGCCTTCAGGGAAGCCCAGTTAATACCACTATTACTCAAATTTACACAACAACCACTAAAGCCAATAAGGATGAAATAGAAGAATTCTACAAACTTTTTCAATCTGAAATCGATCAAACATGCAATCAAGATGTATTCATCATCACTGGTTATTGGAATGCAAAGGTTGGGAGCAAAGAGAAAGGATCAGTAGTTGGAATATATGGCCTTGGTGATAGAAATGATGCTGGAGAACGCATGATAGAATTCTGCAAAACCAATGATTTGTTCATTTCAAATACATTCTTTAGACAGCATAAAAAAACAACTGTACACATGGACCTCAGCAGATGGAATACATAGAAATCAAGTTGATTATATCTGCAGAAAGAGACGATAGAAAAACTCCATATCATCAGTGAAAACAAGGCCAGGGGCAGACTGTGGAACAGACCATCAATTACTCATAGGCAAATTCAAACTGAAGCTGAAGAAAATGAAAACAAGTCCACGAGAGCCAAAATATGACCTTGAATATATCACATGTGAATTTAGAGATC